CAGGGAGGAAAAACTGTTTTGTGTACAAACAGTTCTCCTCCCCGTCGGAGATTCTCGGCAATCACTGGGCGCCGGCGAGTAATCACCGCCCAGGACCCGGTGATTGACAGCTTCACACGCCCGCTACCCGGAAATATATATCCATGATTTTGCACACCCGTGTCACCCAGCAGTATTTCTGCTATAGGGCAGTCAGGAAGCGGTTAATTTACAACTCCCTAGCATACAAGATATGTAAATTATTTTATGTAAACAATGTGTATTTGCTTTTCTGACTCTAAAAGTATACAAACCATGTCCTTATTTACAGGTCCCTTCCTTTTGCAGTGATGTTGATGATGTTGATTGTCGACTTGAGGATCAGTATCAAAGACTGTGTCTTGAATACAACTATAACTATGAGAATGGATTTGCTATAGGTAACTAAGCTGTCCTACTAATGGTTAGCTGTCAGCTAGCTAAAAGAACTGACAACGTTGTATTTCATTCCAAAACTGAGTTTACTTCTGTGTGTAGTTCTGTAAAGCTGAAATCCAAACACATAAACTGAAATTACAATATATTTGTACACATGTCTCTCACAAATGCCTACAATGAATACATTTCTTGCAAACAGCTACCTACCTTTAGTTGCCAAGGCAGTCGCTTCATGTCAGAATTTGGTTCAATAAAGTCAGATACCATTGGCTTTCGGTGGCTCACTCATATCTGCATGACGCAAGAAATCTGGGCCTGAGAACCAGTTGTTATGTTTCAGGTATGCTGCTTAAATTAGTCCGGTACCGTGATCTGCTGGGTTCTAACTAGTGGAAATGTAATGCCACTGATCTTTATTAGTGGATTTTCTAATGTGGATTATCCTGTATGAGATATACACATAAAATCTAATGCAAGTGTTGTGAATACAATTTTGCTGTCGGTGTAGTATTTACCTGCATTGGACTCAAAGTCCATTTCTGCAAGAATCAGTTCTGCTAGCTCAACTGACAAAATGGCTGCACATAACTATAAATGTGGCACTGTGTGGGCTAGTCTTTACGCTAGTTTAGACTTGCCCATAATAAAGCCTACATGCCATTGACCATTACTGTCTGTGACCTTGAGATATGCTACAGCTGCTATCATCACACTAGAAGCATCAGAAAAGAAACATACTTCTCTTTGCACTGTAGCAAATGTTAGTGACACTGGCACATAGGGTCTGGGAATACTGAGATCTTCAAGATGAATCAGGTCTTCTTCTGTCCATGTTCTCCAATGAGTTTCTCTTTCTGGTGAGAGTGGGGAGTCCCAGTCACATTGGTCTATTGAAAGCTCTCTAACTAAGGCTTTGCTACTGTGGCTAGGTTACTCCTCCTTGTGTGTGGCTTCACCTCTCTGGACACTTGAAAGGTAAAACTGTCGGTCTGGAGATTCCAACTTATTCCTAAACTCTGTTGAAGTAGCAGAGGATCAATACCTAGAACGAGGTCTTTAACTCTTTAGCTCTGTCATCTGCAGGAAATGCTTCCATAACTGAACTTCTATTGGCCTTGTAGCTTAAGATTAGATCCTGCACGCAACTCTAGGTCTCTGCAGAAGACTCACCACTTCAACTTCAGTAGGCACAGATGTAAGAACATCATCTATGTAGAAAATTTCTTATGATGAACTGTTTTACATCTTCTCCACACTCACTCGCTCCCTGTTTGGCTATTTGTCTAAAATGGCTATGAAATGTGACAGACTATTTCCAAAGACATGTACTTTCATCATGAACTCTATAATTTCTTTGTTGAGGTCATTATTTTGAAACCAAAAGAACTTCACGTAGTTGCGGTGATCTTCTCTAACCACGAAACAGTAAACCATTTGCTGCACATCAGTAGTAACTGCAACTTGCTCTTTGCATAAACGCATAAGAACGCCTAGCAGTGTATTATTCAAATCAGGCCACTAAGAAGTATGTAATTCATTGAGATGCCATCACACTGAGCTCCAGAATCAAAAACCACTTCTATCTGCCCTGGTTTTTTAGGGTGATAGAGGCTAAAGATTGGTAGGTAGCAACTCTCTTCACCTGGTTTTAGTGGTGGGGCAGGTTCTGCTTGGTCATGATCATAGTCCCAAATTCAGTTTTCATGTGGATTATTTCACTTTCAAATTCTTTGCCTATATACGTATGCTTTTTTTTTTTACTGTAAAGCTTCCTTGTCTTCGCATGTATATGTATGCCTTTTACTGTCTTTTTACTGTGAATCTCCTGTATTTTTGCCTGTATACAGATAGCTTTTTACTTGCGAGGCTCCTCTGTCTTCGCCTGTATACAGATGCCTTTTTAGTATGCTGTCCTACTGTTAGTGTAAGCCGACAGCTAGCTAACAAAACTGAGAGAAGCAGTGCTGTATTTCATTCCAAAACTGAATTTACTTCTGTGAATAGTTCTGTAAAACTGCAATACAATCACATAAACTGAAAATACAATACGATTGTACACATGTCTCTCACCAATGTATACAATGAAAACATTTTTTGCTAACAGCTACCTGCAAATCACATTGAATACATTTAGATGCAATATAGCTACGTATTTGACCCTAATAAACACACTGAAAGAACTTACAGGCATATGTGTATCAAAGGGAGAATGGAGGCCTTTACTGGTGTTCTTTAGGAATTTAAACTGGAACTTCAGTGGGAGAAGGGAAATCTTTATTTTATAGAAACATTTCCTGTTCTTGTTGAATAGGAATAAGTTGCAGTGAACACCTAATAGATGGTTCCCTACTCAACACAGTGATGATATACAGAACGGTAACTTTTGACAGAATTAATTATACAATTTTCACTTTTTGGTACAATTTAGGGCTTGCATCCCCAAACTATGGCCTATGCATTGGGACATATGACCTACTGCTGTTTTTTTCCCTGCCTTTGGCTGAAAGAATGAGGTTGCTGAACATCTGCAGTAACAGTAATAAGCATTAGGGTCTGTGTCTATGGGCTTTGGGCTTGTGTAAAAAAAATCAGTTTGACATCATTTTGAAACACTTCTGTAAATATTCAGAATTTATTAACAGGTGAATTTGACCTGCAGTTAAAATGGTTGTAAAGGCTGTGAAGCTGCAAGGCTCCAGTTCTGGTTTCACTTACTTGCAATGCCGGTGCCGGGAACCCATACACCAGTGATGGCGACAGCACTGGACTCCTGGACAGGTAAGTGTCCTTATGTTAAAAAGGCAGCAGCTACAGTATTTGTAGCTGCTGACTTTCAAGTTTTTTGGGGGAGCCTGGAGCTCCTCTTTACATCAGGTGGTTCTCCAAGTCTGCAGTCGTTCAATGACTGGTGCCAGTGAAGGTTTCTGTGTGCTAATCACATACAGAGCAGCCTGCATATAAAAAAAAAAATACAATCTATGTATACAGCCTAGTGTAACCTGCAGAAATAAGACATAACAAACTGTAGATATAAAACAGAACAAACTGCATATATAAAACAAGGCAACATGCAGATATAAAATAGAGCCTTCTTCAGATATAAACCAGGGAAATCTGTAGATATACAACAGGGCAACCTGCACATATAAAGCAGAGCAATATACACATATAAAACAAGCCAATGTGCAGATAGAAGACAGGGCAATCTGCACTTATAAATCAAAGCAATCTGCATATATAGAACAGGCAACCCATGCACAGTATATAAAAAAGGTAAAGTTGTAATTAGAAAATAGAGCAACCTGTATATGTAACAAATGGCAACCTGCACATATAAAACAAGACTAAACTGTAACATTTGTGGGCAAGCTGAGTGTAATCTAACATTTCTGTCAGTTCCCTTCCTGTATATTCAGCATCACATTCTACAAAGCCATATTAGTGCTAATATGCACTAATTAACAGCCAATCAATGCTTATATCTCCGACAGACTCAATTTTTTTGCTATCTGAAAAAAGTAGATAGCAAAATGTCCAATTGTCTGCTTTGGCAAAGAGTATTTGTTGGTTTCACAGCCCTGTCAGCTATCAATCGACCCAAACATTGGCGGCATCTGGTTGGATGCAGGATCTGTACAACCGACAGTTTTCTTTGATTTTTTTATTCAAAGGATTTAGGGTGAGATGTAGTAAGCTGAGTCCTTCAAGAACCAGCTGATATTTAGGCTGTGTACGGTCAGCTTTAGTCAGCCGATAGTGATGACAGTTGCTTTCAGTACTAATGCTCCTTGATTGCCTTTCCTTTTTATTTATTTAAGAACCCCTGCTTTTTCCTGAATGGTGATATGTGCTGTGGAATACAGGGCTTCATGGCATCTGAGCACCACAAATCAAAAACTCTTGTTTAATTAATTTTTAATATTCAAAGCAAACTCACCCATCAAACTCATCCATCCATGTCTCCATGCTTTATATTGCTTCAAATTCACTTTAAAAAACACCCTCTAGCATTTCTGGCAATGGCCATCTTGTGTAAGGGCAGATGATTCATGTAGCATTTACATTCTGGAATCCACCTGTCCTTAGCTCAAGCATGCAGGCAGGAGGGTGTACTTAACTGGGAAAACCCCTCCTTCCCTGCTGAAAACTCCTGAAGTTCCCCTTGTGACGTGGTAGGTATGGCTACTAAGGTATATCTTCTTTTTAGAGAAGGGAATGAAAAAAGCTCCTGTCAATGGACAATAAACTTATTAGATCACAAATCTATGTTTTAGTGAGTAAAAATCTGTTTGATATGTCAGATCTCAATACATTCTCTCTATACCTTTTTTTTTTAAATAAAAGTGATTGTGATTTAATTAAAAAGATTGTTATCTAGCCACATTCTGTAAGAATGAAGAATGTTGTACTAGGTGATAATTAGGGCTCATTTACATGTCTGATTACCTCTGTGTGCTGTGCAGGAGTGTGTTTTGCCAGCACAGGGATGCACAGGTGTTCCATGCATCCCCATGCCAGCAGACCCATAAATGTCTACTGGGACACATGGCTGCAAGGACATATCCGCTGTGTCTCAGTGTGACATCTGTGCAGGTGTGTGTCCCCAAACTCACCCTGTGTGCGTTCAGGGCTGTGCACTCACATACACATTGGTACACAGTGGCTGTGTGCATGCAGCCACGTGTCCAGTAGACACTTCGAGAACTTGGGACTGCCCGAGGGCCCGGGGTCAGTAGGGGGCCCCATGAAATGACCCTGGTACCTTTTATAGGCTTTTTTTGAGTGTGGGCAGGGACACAGGGGCCCCATGATCCCTATTGCCCAGGGGCCCCATGAGTTGTCAGTCCGCCCCTGGAATGCACGCAACACCTTTGCATCCCTGTGACAGCAGAACATGCTCCTGCAGGGCACACAGAGGAAATAGGCTATGTGAGCGAGCCATTAGCTGAATAACGGGGATCTGCTGCATTATTCATACATTTAATTGTTTTTGTTTTCAGGACCAGGTGGATGGGGAGCTGCCAATAGATTAGATTATTCCTATGATGACTTTTTTGATGTGACAGAGGATGAACTGAGGGAAAAGTCTGCAACTGACTCTACATCACTACTGAGAGTAAAAAGGCAAAAATTGAATATCCTGCCACAGATCAGAAAGTGAAGTTTGTTTTTAACATAACAGGTAAGTGAAAGTTCCATTAGAAACACATTTTCAGAGTTACATAACATTTTAATTACATAAACATGTTTAAATCCTGGAGCAGAAAGGTTATATCAATATCCTTATTACAACCCCTCTCATAAGTGTTAAACATAGCACTGAGCAAACTGTTGGCGCTATATAAATCCTGTATAACTATAATAATATTGCATTTAGGGCAGTTTATAAAGAATATTACTTTCATTACTCAATCCAATATTTCTTCTGTTTTTAGCCATTCAATTCCAGGTATTGTTTTGGTAAGAAACAATGCTTTAATGCACTTTTAAAGAGGGGAACCTTTTTATAGGGGAATATTCACTGATATCTGTTTGTGGGGAAAAAAGAACTATGGCTTCGCAACTAAAAAAATATGTGCTGCAGAACCTTATTACAAGTGTATCTAAACGGTTTTCTCTTAGCCCCCCTGCAAAGCCTCACATAATACATATCTGTCATTGAATTCCTCCTAATGCAGCTTTCTATGATGGGGTGGCACAGGGGCGGACTGACCATTTGGAAACTCGGGTGCTGCCCAAGGACCCTGGGTCAGTAGGGGACCCATGAGATGCCCCTGTTACCTTTTTCATAGGCTTTTTTGAGTTTGGACAAGGACACAAGGGCCCCATGATCCCCTATTGCCCGGGGGCCCCATGAGTTGTCAGTCCGCCCCTGGGGTGGCAAGGATGCTGCACTGCTCATGAATTCAGAGCAGTGATCACTCTTATGTAGGCTGTGGGCTGCTTAAAGTATAACTAAAGGCAAAACGTTTTTTTTTTTTTTCAGTTTTGGATAGAGTAGAGATGGATTAGAACGCTTGTCACTTTTTATTGCTGTCTGTACCCCGTTAATGGGGATCCACCCTCCAGTCCTGCCCATTGTTTACTTGATTAGCAGAACTGCCTTTGGTGAATCTATCCCACTGTGAGCTGCAGTATCTAGGAGGGGGAGTGTGTGAGACACAATCAACAAGAATTTGGCTCAGTCAGGGAAGGTAAAGGTAGTGTTTTCTTTATGAGGCTTTTGGTTCATATTTTACTTAAAGTGTACATTCAGAAAATCTGTATGGTGACCTTACACTGGACCCCATCACCACCGGGGGGGGGGCCCTCTTTGCCAGTGTTCCCAATCCCCTGCTGTCAGGCATCAGGATGCCGCTTCACAGTCCAAGGACTAAAAACCTCCTGGCTTACTCTCCTCTCCTTGCAGTGCTGACAGAACAGGCTAGATGGATTCTGATTGGTCAGCGCCATCCATGTGACAGTGTTTACCAATTAGAATGCCTCTTGTTGGTACATGCTGGGAGGTACGGATAGGAAATTAAGTTGCAGGGATTTTAAATCCTAGGACCAGTGAAGCAGCATGACTGACGGCGGGGGGATTGAGGAAAACTGGTACAGTGAGACCGGGGTGGAGGGGTGGGGAGGGGGCCAAGTGTAAGGTCATCTTACAGATATTCCATAAAGGTGAACTTAGGCCTTAAATGTGTTACTTGTTTTGCCTGTCATACAGAGGCTTGTAGTGGTGTGTTAAGGTAATTTTGTATGAGAAATGAATACTTGTTAGAAATAACAAGTATCAAGGTTTATTACACTTTTAAATATAACTGAAATTAATAATAATTGTAAATTAATAATATTAATAATAATAATAATAATAATACTTATTATTCCTATTATTGTTATCATTATTATTATTATCATTGACATCATTATTATTATCATTGTCATCATCTTCATTACCTTGTGACTATACAGTATATACTATTTATTAATATTATCTTTATTAAACCAATATTTTACATGGAAAGGACAGACATTATTCTTTTATTCAAATATTTACAATGTTTTCACCAATTTGTCACAAAAAATATGCTGAGTATTCACATTTTTACTGAGTTTGGTGGCCTTGGTTTCTCAGCTCAATGCCTTGCTGGAGAAATTGCGGAATCCATATAAAACAAATCACTGCTTTTTTGTAGATAGGCTTTTAGGTGTCATGGTATTACTTTCCACTACTCAGCATATTGAGAGTAAAGTGTATTCATGCACCATTTCTCTCCGGTTAGCCTATGTCATACATTCAGAGTTATCCTAACATACTTACAAAAGAGTTGGAGTGATTTTGACAAACAATAAAAAAAACACAGCAGATCATGAGTTTTTCAGCAAGAAATATGATCTTGTACTTTAATATAAACACAGACCGCATGCTTGAGTTCTCAAGAAAAATGCTTTCAAATTGATTTACCTGGAGTACATCTCCTGCAGTTTCCTTATAATTGAAAAAAAGAAAACAATGGAAAGGTGTAGAATTAATACCATAGCCTGAATAAATACAGTATAAGCTTACTGATCTCACCACAAAAGAGTTAACTGTTAAACTTGGCTTTTCTTCAGTTGAGTATGAAAAATGTGATGGTGCAAATTACAAAGATTGAGTTGCTTGTAACCAATCACAGCCAGTCACATAGCCAGTCACTTGTACCAGTGTCTCAGAAGCAGAGTGATTTTTTTTTGTCAGTTAAAGCAGAACTAAACACTTCTATCATTTTCAGCCAAGGAGGCTGCTATATTGGCATGTGTTTCACCTGCAACTTCCATGTGATCAGTTATGACTCCAGCCATTTGATGGTTTGTCAGTTTGGTTGAGAGCACAAGCAACTGTGACAGTTAGCATTCCTGGCATGTTGGGATTGCAATGTTTTCTGGAAACTGTTAAATCGATAGGTTTTGTTCCACATTAAGTAGATGCTCACACTTTATCAGTACATTTTTATATCTGCTTAGATAAATACAGTTGTATGCTGCATAACACTGATGAGCAGATGGGAAAATAAGAAAAACCTATGGAAATGTGACATAAAAAATTAGCTAAGGGATGTCTTTCCAGGTACAAGTTTGCTAGTGCCTGTCAGTCATTAGGCTTCTTAAAAAAAAAATAGTCTTGCAAAATATTTAGCATGAAATACTTCTTTTGGGGCCGTATATGTGTGTCACTAATTTTCTTAAATAGAAATATAAATTTAACATGTCATATTTATTGTGACTTATTGACCCTGTTCTTTTTTCAGCAAGTGTACCTTTACCACATAGAAGGAATGACTCTCTGGAATCAGACAACCAGCAGCGCCTTCTTAAAACTTTAGAAACTATAACGAATCGGCTAAAAAGGACTCTTCGAAAGGCACCACTTTACTCCTTTCAGTTTTCCTCAGAGATGATTATTGCAGATAGTAACTCACTGGAGGAAGGAAGAGCGGTTCTGTTCTGCAGGCCAGGTTCTGTATTAAAAGGACGAATGTGTGGTAAGTGAACTTTTGCTTTTCTTTTATGTGCAATATGGTGGCTAAAATGTCATTCATCTCTGTGCGTTCTGAGATTCTGCTATTTAGTTACTTACAGAAAAAGTCAAGTAGCACAATGGAAAGAGGGGCCTTTCAAACCCTAACATTTGAAGTTTAAACACACATTTTTAGCACAGAAAAACACAAACAAACACAGACAAATAATATTTAACACACAGAAGACACATGTTCATGTAAAAAAAAACATTGATGTTCCAAAGAGGGGATAGTTAAAAGTTACTTCACGAATAGGTGAATATGAATATGAATCTATAAACATAAAACAGAAATGAAGCAGTTTTTTAATTTTTATTTTATTAAAGCAATAACATTCATTACATACAAATACCAAAACAGATCGGTGCCAGCTCAGGTTTACGTTCTGTATTCAGGTGCTGGCAGAAAAACCCCTCAGATACTGTATGTTTTAGCCACATTGGGCATATACGTAGAGGAGCCCAATGTGAGGAAAACATGTCAGAAGAACATGACCAATGGGCAAGGATTTGAGCTTTCTTTCATTTATTTCAAACCGAAATTGACTTTGATGATCTTGTTTCGGGTTTGGCGAACAAATATACACTCACTGGCCACTTTATTAGGTACACCTGTTCAATTGCTTGGTAACACAAATTGATAATCAGCCAATCACATGGCAGCAACTCAATGCATTTAGGCATCTAGACGTGGTGAAGACAAATTGCTGACATTCAAACCGAGCATCAGAATGGGGAAGAAAGGAGATTTAGGTGACTTTGAACGTGGCATGGTTGTTGGTGCAGGACGAGCTAGTCTGAGTATTTAAAAAACTGCAGATCTACAACCGTCTCTAGGGTTTACAGAGAATGGTCCGAAAAAGAGAAAATATCCGGTGAGCGGCAGTTGTGTGGAACAAAATGCCTTGTTAATGTCAGAGGCCAGAGGAGAATGGGCAGACTGGTTTGAGATGATAGAAAGGCAACAGTAACATGTCAATATGGACCAAAATCTCTAAGGAGTGTTTCCAACACCTAGTTAAATCTATTTCATAAAAAATGAAAGCAGTTCTGAAGGCAAAAGGGGGTCCAACTTGATACTAGCAAGGTGTACCTAATTAAGTGGCTGGTGAGTGTAAATC